CGGGCTAACCAACGCCCCGGCGGCATTCATGGACATGATGAACCATGTGTTCAGTGAATACTTAGATCAATTCGTGATAGTATTCATTGACGATATTTTGATATACTCCAAGAGTGAGTGGGAGCATGAAGATCATTTGAGACTTGTACTTGAACGGCTAAGGGAAAAACAACTCTTTGCCAAGTTCTCTAAATGCGAGTTTTGGCTCAAAGAGATCGGGTTCCTCGGGCATGTCGTGTCAGGTTCGGGCATTACGGTGGATAAAGCCAAGATAGAAGCCATTATGAATTGGGAGAGACCCAAGAACGTGAAAGAAATACGTAGTTTCCTCGGTTTGGCAGGATATTATCGTAAGTTTGTTGAAAAAATTTCTGTATTGGCGTCTCCTTTGACGAAGCTCACAAAGAAAGGGGCCAAGTTCATATGGGACAACAATTGTGAGAAAGGGTTTCTCGAACTAAAGAAACGGCTTACAGAAGCACCAGTCCTCACTCTACCCACACAAGGGATAGGGTACGACATATACAGTGACGCTAGCATCCAAGGGCTTGGATGTGTTCTAATGCAAAACGGTCGGGTGATTGCATACGCTTCAAGGCAATTGAAGAAACACGAGGCAAACTACCCTACCCATGATCTAGAGTTGGGAGCAGTAGTGTTTGCACTGAAAATTTGGCGGCATTATCTCTATGCGGAGACGTGTCACATTTTCACCGATCATAAAAGCTTGAAGTATGTATTCACTCAAAAAGAGTTGAATATGAGACAAAGGAGATGGATGGAGTTGATCAAGGACTATGACTTGATCATCGACTATCATCCCGGGAAGGCCAATGTGGTAGCCGATGCACTGAGCAGAAAGAGTACATCGGGGACGTTACTCACGTGTCTACGCTCACTAAGGGCACAAGTGGAGGTGTCCACGAGTGGGGTCCTCATTGCTAGATTCGAGGTTAGGCCTACATTGCTGAGTGAGATCAGTAGATGTCAGGCCATTGATGAAGAATGTCAGAAGATCCGTGAACAGATCCTTGAGGGACCTGTTGAGAACTTTCGGGTACGTGATGACGGTCTTTTATTGTTTAAGGCCGTGTATGCATACCAAGGAACGAGGAGCTCCAAAAGTCTATACTGGAGGAGGCTCATTCTTCGGCGTATGCCATGCATCCAGGAGGTACTAAAATGTACCGAGACTTGAAGGAAAGTTACTGGTGGTCGGGTATGAAGAGGGACATCGCAGAGTACGTGAGTCGGTGCCTTACTTGCCAACAAGTCAAGGCGGAGCATCAACACCCGACGGGACTTTTGCAACCACTTACCATTCCAGAATGGAAGTGGGAGCACGTGACCATGGACTTCGTGGTGGGGCTGCCACGAACAGTGAACAACTATGATGCAGTATGGGTAGTGGTTGATAGGCTCACCAAGAGTGCGCACTTTTTGCCTATCAACATTACTTATCCTCTTGAAAGATTGGCAAAGCTATACACGGAGGAGATTGTGAGACTGCATGGAGTTCCGATATCCATTGTCTCGGATAGGGACCCACGTTTCACATCCCGATTTTGGCCAAAATTTCAAGCATCTTTGGGTACGAAGCTAAAGTTTAGCACAGCCTTTCACCCACAGACGGATGGGCAATCCGAGAGGGTGATACAGATTCTGGAAGATATGCTTAGGGCATGTGCTCTGGAGTTCCAAGGGAGTTGGGACAAGCATTTGGCTCTGGTTGAGTTTGCCTATAACAACAGTTATCAGGCGAGTATTGGCATGCCTCCATACGAGGCATTGTATGGGAGGAAATGTAGAACACCGTTGTGTTGGGATGAGGTTGGCGAAGCCAAGCTCGAGGGGATTGAACTTGTCGAAATCACCAAGGCTAAGGTGAAAGTCATTCAGGATAGACTCAAGGCTGCTCAAGATCGGCAAAAGAGTTATGCTGACAAACGACGCAGGCCATTGGAGTTTGAGGTCGGTGATAAGGTCTTTCTAAGGATTTCTCCAGGTTTATATCGAGGGGAAAACTTAACCCCCGATATATTGGCCCATTTGAAGTTCTTGAAAGGATAGGGGCCGTGGCTTACCTTATCAAATTGACCCCAGAACTTGAGAAGATACACGACGTGTTCCATGTATCGATGCTCAAGAAATACGTGCGAGATCCATCTCATATCCTTGAGAAACCACCGGTAGAGATACGTGAAGACCTACAATATGCGGTGGAACCGGTGAAGATTGTGGGTCAACAGGTAAAGAAACTAAGGAACAAGGAGATTCCTATGGTAAAGGTCCTTTGGAGGAGTGATCGAGTCGAAGAAGAAACCTGGGAGACTGAGGTCTCAATGAGGGAGCAGTACCCTTTCCTTTTCGATTAGACACGTGGGTTTCGGGGACGAAATCCCAAATAAGGGGGGGTGAACTTGTAACACCGTCCCCAAATGTATTCATCTTTAAGATAATAATTTATTGAACCCTATGAAATATTTAGTGAACTTACGAAGTTGTGAATTTGTATTAATTTTTTCGCGTGAATAGTAAAATGCACGTGGGGCCCACATCGGGAGTGGGGACCGCCCGATATTATCGGGGCCACATATTATATTGATCTTGGACTAAATAATATGTATATGGTGGTGGATACCCAAATTGAGCCATGACAATGGCATAGGGTTGACCGGTTGGTCAAACGGGGCCAAATTATCAGTATCGGCAACCTATCAGATAACAGCCCAAAAAGGGATTTCGGAGACTTCTAAATTAAAGTGAGGGATGCATATTGATTCTAAGGTCCATTAAGAATTGGGAACAAGTGTTATATTTTATTTGACCCGATAAAATAAAATAACTTAAAACAGTCCGAAAAATACAACTTTCGGGGCAAATTGCACACGTTGGGACAAATTGGGATGACCTCCCACATGGGTGGGGGCCACCCCACGAAATTGTCAACCTTTGAGGGCTGGATGAGGGCCAAATTGGCTGAACAACAATTGAGAGGATGGGGGAGACACTTTTGACATGTAGTAGGCCCCTCCCTTCACTCATTGTCTAGATGAGACAAGAAGGAACCACCCCTACCTCCTTACCCTCATCATTTTCGACCCAAATACACCAAGAAGGAGAGAAGAGCTCTGCAAACTTCATCTCCATAGCCCAAATCCGAACTCAAGCTAAAGGGAGTCCAAGAAGGAAGTTTGAGAAGGAAAAAGCTAGGAAAAGGGTGTGAAAATTAAGGTAATGACCTTATCATAACTTTTCCTTTGTTTTTTTTCTAGCATATAAGGTATATATCATATAAAAGACTTTTAGTATTGTTCTACATGATTTAAGTGTGGAATGATGGGTTGGAAGGTGATTCTAAGTCCAAAAACGGACTTAGAAGCCAAATCGACCGGTTTGCAGGAAAATAACCTTTTATAGGTTATTTGTGTTGATATGGGTTTTGTGATGATAAAACCTTGTTAGGAACTTGATTTAAAGTATTTTTGAGCCTCGCCGGAGTTTCGTCGGAGTTGGTCAAAGTTCGCCGGAGTTGGTCAAAGTCGCCGGAGTTGGTCAAAGTTCAATCAAGAAACGTAGAACGCGCTTAAGCTTAATTAAGGTGAGGATGATTGACTATAATACTTATAATCTTTGGGTTAATTTCATGGGATTTCCTAAGTGAATATAAATGTGATGTGCATGAATTGTTGATGGTTAATAATGTATAAATAGAACTACTATTGATTAAAAGTATAGTATGCATGATACACAAATTTATGAATAAATTGTGTATGTTTAGATGTTATGAATATGTGTGTATGATGGTTGTACCAACCATGAATATCATTTGGGATAGTATACTTTGATGCCATGAGGAGAAGCCATGAAGGTATGAAAGTGATATTTGATATTAAGGCCAATTATGCAAGAAGAAGGAATTATATTGAAATAAATAAATAACTAGCATTGAAATATTAGTTGGAAATGTTAGTTGAGAAATGGATGAATTAGATCCTAAGAATTTGAATTATAAGGAATCGGTGATTATGAGTCGGGCTCAAGACCGATGTAGATGACGGTGATTATGAGTTGGGCTCTAGACCGTAGTAGATAACGGTGATTATGAGCTGGGCTCTAGACCGTAGTAGATAACGGTGATTATGAGCTGGGCTCTAGACCGTAGTAGATAACGGTGATTATGAGCTGAGCTCTAGACCGTAGTAGATAACGGTGATTATGAGCTGGGCTCTAGACCGTAGTAGATAACGGTGATTATGAGCTGGGTTCTAGACCGTAGTAGATGACGGTGATTATGAGCTGGGCTCTAGACCGTGATAAATAATGATGAATTGATATTAAATGAACGGATTAACTATAATGTAATAATGCCCTAGTTGAGGGCCTCGGAGATTTAAACTTTGATTATACTTAGTATAGTTGTCATTGTACTTGTCAAATGCTTCCAAGTACTGACCTCCCCTTCACGGGGGAGGCCACCTCACAGTTTCAGGTAGAACTTGAAGGTTGCTACCACCAGCCGCTGCTTTGGGAAGTTTCTGAGGAGAAGACTTGGTTCGTGCTTCTCCCGTTCTTGTTTTGAAAAAACAATATGAATAATGCTCATGGATAATATTTTCTGAATAATTATTTTGGGGGCTTGCATGCCTAATTATGCCAAGTGTGGCTTGAACACTTGTATCAATTGTTTCCGCTGCTTTAATAAATGTTTTACATTATGTTTGTTTATGGATGTACTATGTGTGAATGGATGAGTATGGATGAGTATGGATGAGTATGGATGAGTATAGTATGGTATGGATGAGTCGGACTGCGGTTGACTATTCGTACTGTACGACGGGTTGTTGACGTGTCCGGGTAGGTCCGGGGCGTGACATGGTCTGTTTATGTCTGGTCTGGTTTTATTTGGAATTGAAAAGGCCCTCAAGTAAAAACATGCTAATACTACGTAATTACGTATGAGTGTATGACCTTAAATTAGTGAATAAAAACTTGTCTAAGTTTTTGTGCTTTGTGCTGAATGAGTGTTTGTTGAAAAGAAGAACGGTCTGGGGTTTGATCCCCAAAAAAATGAATGTTAGTTGAGCTATCCTTTCCCTCCAACCACAGCGGTGCAAGAGCGCGTCAACAGCATCTCTTTTATCTCTTACAGAACTGCAAAACCATCCAGCAGCTTACCCAGATCCATGCTCAAATCATTACCACCGGGCTAACTCAGAAAAACTTCATTCTTGGAAAGCTCCTAACATTCTGCATAATCTTCCAAAGGCTGTCATATGCCACCCAAGTTTTCGAATGGGTCAGAAACCCAAGCACCATTCTTTGGAATCAAATCATCAGAGGTCATGCCAGTGGCGAACAGCCACCTCTATCTGTTCTGTATTTCCGGAAGATGGAAAACTCCACTGCTTTACCTGATGGGTATACATACTCATATGTAATCAACAGTTGTGCAAAAGGGGTCTTGATGTGTGAAGGCGAGCAAGTTCACGGCAAGATATTGAAAAACGGGTACTTCTCTGACGTGTTTGTTCAAAGTAATTTGGTGAACTTCTACTCAGTCGTCAGTAGACAACAGGGAACTGTTAGTGCGAGTAAGGTGTTTGATGAAATGACTAAAAGAACTCCTGTGGCTTGGAATTCACTGATCTCTGGTTATTTTAGGAGTGGAAATTTCAACGAGGCATCTCGGATTTTCCACGAGATGCCAGAGAAGAATGGTGTTTCCTGGACTGCGATGATAGCTGGTTCTGCTCAGAACCACAGATGCAAAGAAGCTTTGTCTTTTTTCCGTGCAATGCGCAGGAACTGCGTGGAAATTGACCAGGTGACTTTGGTGTCAATTCTAGCCACTTGTGCAGAAATGGCTGTCTTGGATTTGGGCAGATGGATACATTCTTACATTCTTGAATCCATAATTGCCAAAAGTGGGCAGGTGTTAATATCCGTGAACAATGCACTCATGCACATGTATGCCAGTTGTGGTGAAATTAAGGATGCTTATAAGATATTCATGGAAATGCGCGAGAGAACTATAGTTTCTTGGAATACAATGATAACTGGTTTAGCCAAACAGGGTTATGCACGGGAGGCTCTTACCATATTCGGGGAGATGGAAACTTTAAAAGCTAAGCCGGACGAAATCACAATCTTGGGCATATTATCTGCGTGTAGTCATGCCGGTTATGTCAATGAAGGACGGTTTTACTTTAAACGAATGAGAGAGTGTTATGGAGTGGAGCCAAGAGTACAACATTATGGTTGCATGGTTGATCTCCTTAGTCGTGCTGGTCTCTCTAATGAAGCAGAGAGACTTGTCAAGTGTATGCCTATGGTGCCAAACAATGCCGTGTGGGGTGCTCTTCTAAGTGGCTGCATTATTCACAAGAACCTAAACCTTGCTTCAGACGTTGCACAGAAATTTATAGTCGAGCTTGAACACCCCGAAAGATCAGCAGGCTATTTCATGCTCTTGTCAAATGTGTATGCCACTCACAAGAGGTGGTCTGCAATCGGTAGCGTGAGACGGAATATGTTTGAGGTCGGAGTGAGGAAACCTCCAGGTCAAAGTTGCATCCGAGTTGGTGGGGTCGACCATGATTTTTTTGCTGGTGACAGAAATCACAAACAAACTTATCTGATCTATGAGATGGTTGATGAAATCACTGGGCAAGCTAAGTTGCAAGGATACTACCAATCTGACATTTTGGATTCTTTTTCATAATTCATCAGCTCTTAGTATTATTATTATTAATACGGAGTTATCCGTGCACTCTAAGCATAATAAGCCATAGAAGGGTACCAAACGGAGCGTAAGCAAAACAAGTAGCTTCTCGCTAACTTATTTGGCTGAAAAAGCCTTTAGACTCATATTTTTAATTTTTAATAGAAGAGCTTCTCTTTAGTAAAAGAATAGTTTTTATTTTCCAAAATAGTAACCCTTATAATTCTTGTCCTCGCGTGATACTGATCAGTGACCAAATGAGCAGATTATTGAACCCAGTTACCACTGGTAAAAAGGCAAGTAACTTAACCAATAATACACAGAGAATCCTTTCCCAAACTCATCATAAACCGGAAAGAGCCAATCCTTATCTTAAAAACTATCTCAAAACTAATCCCGCCAAAGCAGTGTTGCTGTTCCGTGACCTGCTGAGAAAAAAGGTTTCTTGCGTAGACAGCTACTCTCTCCTATATGTCATCAACTCATGCACCCAGAGATCGTCATTTGTTGAAGGAAAACAGTTCCATGCGTTTTTCATTAAACTGGGCTTTGAACTCATAGTTTTCATCCAAACATCACTTGTACGAATGTATTCTTCTTCTGCAAATCTTGAGCATGCACGCAAGATGTTCGATGAAATACCTAGCAAGAACGTTGTATGCTGGACTTCGATGTTCACTGCTTATGTTCATAACCAGAAACCCAGAAGAGCTTTAGAGGTATTCTGGCAAATGCTCGAGGCAAAAGTGGGTCCTGATCCGGTGATTCTCACAATCACTCTATCTGTGTGTGCTGGTGTCAGGGCACTGGATGTGGGAGCTCAGATTCATGCCTACATTTTAAAGAAATACTGGTCCGGTACGGATTTGCCTTTGACAAATGCCCTCTTAAACTTGTACACAAAATGCGGGGATCTCAAAACTGCCAAGATATTGTTCAATGGTATGTGGAAAAAGGATGTCACCACATGGACTTCCATGATTCTAGGGCTTGCAATCCATGGCCAAGCAGAAGAAGCTCTCAGGCTATTCACATCCATGGAAACAGCCAAAGGCGAAGTAGTGATTCCGAATGACGTTACATTCATAGGAGTTCTAATGGCATGTAGTCACACAGGAAAGGTAGAACAAGGCAAGAGGTATTTCAGAAGAATGATTCAAGAATATTGCATAAAGCCCAGACTATCCCACTATGGGTGTATGGTGGACCTGTTTTGCAGAAAAGGGATGCTAAAAGAAGCATATGGTTTCATTATGGAAATGCAAATTTCTCCGAATGCAATTATATGGAGAACACTGTTAGGGTCGTGTGGCATTCATGGCAACATTGAGCTTGCTGCAGCAGCTTACAGCAAGCTGCTGGAAATGGAAGAGGCACTTACTGGGGATCATGTTGTTATGTCTAATATATATGCTGCCAAAGGCATGTGGGAGGAGAAAGTGAAGCTTAGAGATGAGATGGGGCATAGAAGGATTCCAGGTTGGAGTTCAGTCAAGGTGGGGAGTTTCCTTTCATGATTTTGTTGTAAAAGATCATAAACCTTGATCTATCTAATCCAATAAGTCTCCTTTCACTGGTTTGGTTAAATGAATTTTTATTATTATTTGGGAGTAGAGTATAAAGGAATTAGAGAAACTATTATGTAGAATCAGTCAACTGCAACATTTAAATGTTAAAAATTGAATACAAATCACTTGGCTGATATATTAATGTCAGAAGGATTCACTTGTATCATTATTTCACTTATTATATCATGAATTGAATATGTAGTGGAATCCATATGAGAAGTACTCCGAGTAATAGTTTCTTATGACTTAAACATTAGTAAAACAATAGTAAAACGGATAACGGGATAAGATATAAACAAATGAGACCAAACTTAAACAATAGCAAAGTACAATAAACAGATTAGACCGGATTAAATTAAATAAGAAATTTCTGATCCAATTAAAATCCCTAAATCGTATGACATTTTTTGTGAATATAGGGTAAAAATGGGTAAATGCTTGTGTGTTATGAATTGTTCGAAATTACTATGAAATCAAACATAATTAGTCAATTACTACTCCTATTAATTACTATGTAGCACACTAGCACCAAATGACCAAATAACATCAAAGTGTCCTTATGCCTTTTTTCGAACTATAATGCTTATTTCGTAAGGTATGTTTGGGAGTTTGAAAGGAAGGGGTGAGGAAGGTTTTTAAGGTTAGTCATTGATAGAGAAGGGGGAAGATGAGAAAACCTTTCTTCTTGTTTGGGAGTAACAAATTTGAAGAGATAGATGTTATGGATGAATTATAATTAAATCACTTCACATATATGATGAATTCAAATAGTTGAATTTATGTTTATTTAAACTTGAGCAAAAGTTGTCATTTAATTAGCTATACTTCAAAATCCCCCAATTTGGGGGTATTTGAAAATTAAGCATTTGAAAGGTTTTGGATGGTTACAAAAGTCTTCCAAAACCATTCCCTCCATCTTTTTAAACACCCAAACATGAAAGCAAGGCCATAAACCCTTGTCAACCTTCCTCTCCCCTCCAAAACTCAACTCCCAAACATACCCTTAGGGTATTTGAGCCCTAAAGTGACCACACTTTCCTCATTATCCCTCATGGAAAATATTACTTACCGAATTGTTGGATTGTTTTCCTTCAAATATATAGAAGGTAAAAATATTTTAAGAAATAACATCTCTTCACCTACGTACCAAATATAAGAAAAATTCTTTGTAATTATGAACACCAGTTGAAAAAAATGATATTATGAATAAACACGGTTTCTAGTGAGTTCAGTTTTTCTAACTGATTCATTGTCCCATGAGTGATGAGTCCTTTTTTTTACAGATGAAGCAGGCAGAACTGTTTTGAGTATTTTTAAAATAAATTGAATTAAGAAAAAATAACATTTTATGTCACTGCTCTTCAAAATAAACTAAATGAGATATGTCTTTCCTAGCACAAGTTGTCTGGTCACTCTTAGAGCTTGCAAAGTTATAATGCCGTCGTAAGACAATTACAATATTACTCCCATTTGGGAGTAATAGTAAAGTTGACATGATGTCATGATACATTTATATAGTATAAAATCATTTTGTCGATTTTGATATCTTAAAGTAATAAATTATATTGAAATCGTATAGAGTAGAATTCATCTATGAAATAAAACTGGCCAAGCTTTATTAGGATATAAAATAAACGCAAACTACTAAAAAGGAAGTAAATTCAATGGAGCAAATATTTTGCAAAGCACATAATAGTTATTACTGCATAATGTATTATGCATAGATGATATCTTTGAAGAAAAATAGTCAGCTGAAAGAGACCATGACCATCATTTGACTCTGCAAATCTGCAATGAGGTCATACAAAACCTGGTCTGGTCACCATCCCAACTCTTCTTCTGGTCTTCACCAAATCAAGATCTTCCATAAAGTTGTAGAGAGCAAATATGGTCTGATTTCATGGCCTATTCTGGTTGCTCTATTGGTCAACATAACAGTTCTGCTTTCTGTCTTCACACTCCTCAAAGAGCAGCAACTTTTTGATGGCTTCTCGGTGGTTGCAAACGCAAGAAGCAGTCATTCGAAACCCGAGAAAGGTAAAAGAAAACATGTTTGTATGATTACTCAAATACTTTATATCTTAGTTTGTAACTTTGTATCTTCATATTTATTCAATTTAGATGACTATCCTTATCTGCCTTTATAAACTCAGAAGGAGAACTTGATGATGAGCTACTTGGTGGACTTCTACATTCCATTTTTGATGAAAGATCATGTCCAAGTAGGTACCAATCAGTTCATTACTTAAAAGGACTTAAGCGCCAGCCTTCTCCATATTTAATATCCAAGCTGAGAAGCTATGAAGTTCTTCACAGGCAATGTGAACCTTACACAGAACAATATAATAAAACTGTGCAACTCATCCAGTCGGGAGGAGAGTTATCTCCTACACACTGCAAGTATGTAATTTGGACACCTTTTAGCGGGATGGGCAACCGGATTCTCACTTTAGCTTCAACGTTCATATACGCCATTCTCACAAACCGAATCCTTCTTTTGGATTTTCGGGATTTCACGTCTGATCTCTTCTGTGAACCGTTCCCTGAAACTTCTTGGATTTTACCACGGGATTTCCCCATTGCTCATTACTTGGGAGAATTTAATCAGACCTCTTCTTACTGCCATGGGTATATGGTCAAGAACAATTTGACAGGACAGTCTTCTGGAATTCCTCCATTCATCTATCTAAATTTGATATACGACATGGATCAATATGACGAATCATTCTTTCGTGACACTGAACAACAAAAACTCTTGATAAAAGTACCATGGATAATTGTGATGTCAGACGAGTATTTCATACCATCTCTTTTCATGATGAAATCTTTTAAGGAAGAACTCGAGAACATGTTCCCAGACAAAGACTCCGTTTTCCACCTCCTCGGACGGTATAATAGAAGTGTTTTTTATTATGTTCTTGTAAGCAATATAATATACTCCGTACATAGGAGTTGTTAGATAATAAAATCTTTATAGGTGTTTTGAATGGAGTGTGATTTTAGTGAGGTAAGAATTTGTGTTTTAGTGAGTGACTAGTGCAGAATGTAGAGTAATTTTAAAGCAAATCCCTCCTCTGCAAAAGTTTTAGGTTACACTAACTCAAGCATTTTGGCTTAGCTTATTTTGAGACTAGTCTCCCTAACAGGTTTGGGAGGAACTCTTCAAACTTTCGTTACAACGCAGGAATCTAGAACTTTCTACAATTTACTTAAACTTCTCTGGTATAGATTGCACAGAGAAATTTTCTACCCTTGATATGGTATATCTAGAATACACATAGCTTAGAAACTTGTAAATAAATGCAGCACTCTTTAAGATTTTTTAGTGAAAATTTATATCTGACAATACAATAATTTGCTTAGATGAGACAATACAATTTATTTGAATATATGATACCTCTGAACAGGTACCTACTTCATCCCACAGAACTAGTGTGGGGTCTCATTACAAGATACTACCAAGCCTACTTAGCACAAGCTGATGATAAGATTGGAGTTCAGATTAGAGTGTTTGATGGACCATCCTGGCCTCTACAACATGTATTTGATCAGATAATTACTTGTACGTCAATGTGGAATATACTACCACCTGTTATTAAAAACGGTCATCGGTCAACAGGCACCGGTCATCGGGAGATAAAGAACACAACGAAAGTTGTTCTCGTGACAGCGTTGAATCCAGGGTACTCCGACGCAATCCGTTTAATGTACTCAATGAATCCAACGGAGACCGGGGAGGTGATTCAGGTTCATCAACCAAGTCATGAAGAGTATCAAAAAATGGAGGATTTATTACACTACACAAGGGCATTGGCAGAAATTTATCTTCTTGCTATGAGTGACACATTGGTCACAAGTGCATGCTCAACTTTTGGATATGTTGCTCAGGGTCTTGGAGGACTAGAATCTTGGGTCATGTATAAGCCAGAGAATGACACAGTTCCTGATCCCTCATGTGGAAGAGTCCTTTCCATGGAGCCTTGTTTTCACCTTCCTCCTTCACATACAATAATGGAGCATGTTTCTTATGTTAGGCCTTGTGAAGATAAACTCAACGGTCTCAAGCTCTATAAGGATACCAATTAATTTGTGTTGATTTGAAATTGTTTCTAGGGGAAAACATATTGATGTTTTATCAATTTTGTAATTTTGCTACACATAGACTCATGCCAAAAGAATTAAATTCGAAAATAGATCTTAAATTGTAAACTTCTTGTAATTCGAAGTCAAGTTACATAGTCACATGGATATGATAGAATGATTTCCAATGATGATAGCCATTAACATATAATCAGACCAAACTTAAAAACCACGTCAAACTTAAACAGATCAGAAAATTACAGGGGTTTATTCCGCTAAAGGTTTATTCCTTTCTCAACATAAATATGTGTTTGACCTTCTCTCTCGTTTTCATCTCCACACTATTAAATATGTTCGTACTCCTCTTGCTACCCGCACTTCCTTATCTCTCACTGATGGGGAGCTTCTTGCAGATGTCACTGAGTATCGCAGTATGGTTGGTGCATTACAATATTTAACTTTGACACGACCTGATATTACTTATGTTGTGCATTTAGTGTCTCAGTTTATGCATGCTCCTCGTACTACTCATCTTTTTGCAGTCAAGCGTATTTTTAGATACTTGCAGGGGACTATTGACCACGGCTTATGGCTTCAACCGACTACAAAAGCCACCTGTGTTATAGCCTATTCAGATGCAGATTGGGCAGGCTGTCCAGATACATCACGTTCCACGATGGGCTTTGCTATATTTTTGGGTCCCAACATGGTCTCTTGGAAGTCCAAAAAGCAGCCCACTGTTTCGAAGTCCTCTACAGAAGTCGAGTATCGTGCCGTTGCATGTACGGTTCAGGATACATTGCATATTCGTTCAGTTCTTTATGAGCTCGGCTTTCCCGTTACCATTCCAGTAAAGCTCCTTTGTGATAACATCTCTGCTTCATATTTGACTGCAAATCCAGTTCAGCATGCACGTAGCAAGCATATCCAGATTGATTACCATTTTGTCCGAGAACGTGTGGCTCATGGAGACCTGATCGTGAAGTACATTCCTACACAACTGCAGTTAGCTGATATTTTTACTAAAAGTCTTTCTAGTCAGCAATTTCATTTTTGAAGGACAACCTGCGCGTTGCATCTCCCGCACAGTTTGAGGGGGTGTAATAGAATATTATTTAGGCATATTTGTTTCCTTGTATGTCTCAAACTCTTTTATTATATATATTCAGTCCAGGACTCCTATTAGAGTACATTTTCCCATTATCTCACAAAACCTTTGTTTTGTTGGTCGGCATATTGTTGTTTAAACACACCATTGAAATGATTTCAATGGTTGAGGTAAAATCAATGGATCTCAAGCCACATCTACCATCCTTTCGTGATTTTGGTATATCCCCTACTTCTTCACCATTTTATTCTGATTTTCTTGAATGGTCATGTAATTGAATTTCGTAATCAGCTTTTTCAGAGATGCACTTGTCATTATGACTATTTAAATGTATAGTTGCATACAATTTCAAAATAAGATGCATGTTTCACAAATTTATTCCGTGGACTAAAGCTGTATCTTAATTTAAAAAACCTCTTTAACAGATTTATTTAATTGAAAACCTACATATTTTTTAGTATGGAAATATAAATCTACTCAGCCCTATGATTAATATGTACGTGTTAAAATGATGTACGCCTATTGTGTTTTTAAATGCGAACATTTGTGAAAATCGATAACTTCGCTGGTATCTATTTTGTGGTATTCGTGCTCTTCGTTTAAAGCCTAGATGAAACATGACATTGAATTTTGGTTACATCTTGTAAGTGTTTTTGATTAATTAAAAATGGTTTGCGATATATGGATTACACAACCGGTACACATTTCAAATGTATTAAATTAAAACTAACTTCATCCATAGTTTTTTTAGTAAATACTACGTGTATAATTGTAGAAGGCCACAACAACAAACTTTATTAAAGGGCAGTGCTACACCATTTCTAGCCGGAAAGTCTTCACTTTATTAAAGCCTAAATTCAGAAAACTAATTGAAAGCCTAACATTTTGAAAGCCTAGTAATCATTGCATGGCATAAGATTTCTTGTACAGTAATCTACTAAATTGTGAATACGATGAGCATTAGATCAACCTCAGGTTCGCCGGGTTTTTAAAATTCTTTCCGAAAATGTTTGATTGAGCTTAAATTTTGTTCAAAGTAAACTTTTTGCTGCCATTTTCTAATTGGACATATGAAAGAGAATTTCTATGCGATTCTTTTGAAATCTGGTATTAGTTGGTTCTAGTCAAAATTTCGAAAATACACAGCCTCTAGTCTCATTACCTTTGATCCTTTTTTTATACTTTTGTTCTTCGTATTCAATTTTTATCAAAGTGATATACCCTTTGTCAATCTCTTTAATACCTTGCTTTATATTCCCAATTTCCGTTTTTTTCAAGTTCTTAATGACATTGACTTAAATCCATTTACTTTTATCCCCTTCAAACAACATTCAACACACACTGAAATGTGTATTTTTAAAAGCATTTTTTAAAGTGGTAGGTAAAATTAGAAAATATCTAGTTTGTACAATGAACTTATTACAAATACTTCAGGTAATGAATGGTATACCTTTCTTATTTAAAAATCCTACATCTGTATTTGTTAAAATCTTAAACCCATTTTTAATGTTTATAGAATGGGTGTGAGTATTTTTTACTCCCTCCGTCGTTAGAAGGTTCCCGTCCACTATTCTCACGGTCAACTTAAATCATTTTTAATCTTTTACTTTATAAATCAAATTTTTGCCAAATTTACATTTTTTTATCAGGCTTTGTAGCGGTTTTAATGTAGTTTCTGAATATGTTAATTTTATTTACTAAAAATAAACAGATTGTGAACAGGGATTAAGTTGCTTTATCGACAGTCAAGCATCGTAAATCGTTCACGGGAACCTTGTAGCGGGACTGAGGGAGTATTTAAATACCTTTATTTTAGAATATTTAACTCTATAAAAAGTAAGATTGTAGTATAATTTTAAAACATTTGGTATATCATTCTTATAAAATAAGAGGTGCATACATATGTTTGTGTAAGAAAAATAATGAAAGAATCAATTACGTATTATTACCTTCTTTGTTCCACACAGTTCCAATATTTCATTATCTAAGATCTGTAATGATTATTAAATCGATTGCACTGCACATTATATATATGGGGATGAGATCGTAACTCATTATATTGCTACACTTGTAAAACACTAATGGAATGTTGAGGGATGACTTTGTTGCTCTTTGGAGTCTGATATGTTGTTTGTATGCTCTTTATTTGTTTCATCCTCCTCTTTGGAGTATTTAGTTGTGTTGACTTACCATCGTGCTCTGCATCATACCAAGTATATTGATCTGCCATCCTGAAAATACAAACACACGGAAGGTCAAACACTAATGGAATGTTGAGGGATGACTTTGTTGCTCTTTGGAGTCTGATATGTTGTTTGTATGCTCTTTATTTGTTTCATCCTCCTCTTTGGAGTATTTTGTTGTGTTGACTTACCATCGTGCTCTGCATCATACCAAGTATATTGATCTGCCATCCTGAAAATACAAACACACGAAAGTCCGTAATTTCAATTTTCAAACAATATTGCCTTTGTTTTGGTGACAACTACCCCTTCCCTTTTTATTGGTTATTCCTAAATTGTTTGCATTCGCCATATACTCTGAAATATAAAACCAATATTAAGATATTCATTGTTAATCTATATGGATAGGAAAACTGAGAAAATTTTAAAAATGAAAATATATGGAAATTATTTATTTTAGTTTGACTCTTTTCTACTTTGTAGTGAAAAAGGATCTATGGACACCGGTATTCCTGGAGAAAATTTTCGAGCCTCTACCTCTAAATGTGGCTCACATCAATTATGCTCAAACAACTCTCCCCTCAGCGCCCATGCAGTAGTTGTATTGTGGAATTTCTCTTGTGAAGCATCATATTTATAGTGGATTGTCTCTGTAAATTTACTTGTATCCCTTGGGTAATAAACCTGTATCCTTTAAAAAACTAAGATCTGGAGCAATAAATGTGAGATTTGATATTTTCCTGCTTTCTTGGTTATTACAAACCAAATCTACATATTGGACTACTCATCAATCATATCAAACAATAAGTAGAGTAAAATACTTGTAATTGTTTTTGAAAAACTTTCGGAAAGATCCGCATTCAATGCTGATTGATCAACCTGTCTTCACAGCTGAAGACCCAAACCCATTCTTTGAAACCCGCCCCATTGGCTGACACATTCAAATTAGAAATCATTTGTGAGGGCATTCGTCTGCAACATGCTATCTAATTCAAATTTCAAATGAATAGCAAATCAGATGCATCGGTTGTGCAGAATATTGTCAGGGCAGAAAGTTGACCTTATCTCTTGTACCCGACCAAACCCATATTAATGTTGTAGTTTGGGGGGAAAGTGGCCAGAATTCCAACTCTTTTTATATAGAGGTAGATGATTATAACGCCCAAAAATAAAGAACACACACAAATGAGTTTTTAAACATTTTGATACTCATTTTGTAATGTATGCTCATTTGGTAATGTTTTATCCTCATTTTAAAAGGTTGCACATGTTAAACATATCATAATTCATTAAACACATTGAAATTAAATGAAATTGATTATAGACATAAGTTAAGACTTTAATAAATGAAAAAATAATAAACGGAATGCGATATACGAGGAATGAAGCATATATCACTAATACTCACCATTAGGATCCTAATACTCAAAAGAATAGGCTCGGTGCTCATCAAAAATTGACTCAATGCTCATTTAAGATAATCCATGATTTTCACCAAAATTACAAGTTTGTCACCGGTTGTACAGCTCACACCGTACAACCGGATGTACTGTATACGGGGTCTATTCACACACACTTAATCGCTCGCTAAGAGATTAGTAGCGATTAAGGGGCCACAAGCTCGTTCGTCTTGGCAATAATTTAGGATCTTGTCGCAATCAACCTGATTCTCGAAATTATTGTACTCTACGTCGCGAGAGTGATAAGAACTCGATATTGAGTAGCACTTATTACAACATCCTCCTGGGGGACGACGCCACCTTGGCCCATATCAGCCACTACGGACCCCACTATGGATGAAGCACTGTAACTGCCAAAAGAGTTGGTTTCCCCAGAGGAGCGGGAGTCGGAGC